TGGGAAAAAAAAAAAAAAAACAGATTTCGGGTTTGGGCTCTAAATTTAACTGTGCTGCTCGGGTCGGGTCGGACGATCTCGGGTACGGGCCGGGTTCGGGCTTCACTTTAAAGCCCGTGCAGACCTCTACTTCAAAGTCATTTTCTTTTAATAGAAACGTGCACTGATGAATCCTTCACAATAAGAGCAGGAACAATTTTCGATTTCTAGTGTACTTTCAGTTCATGCTCTCTGTGCCTGTGAGCAAAAGTCTGCCGTCGTCACCTCTGTCTGAACATGAGCGCTGGGTCCATGTTGGCTGACGTCATGCGCACCACATGTCGGATCTCCTTGGCGATCATTCGTAACTTTTCGAAATTCACCAGGCCATCAACACTCGAATCGTTACCTGAGAAAGATAAGAGATGACGGACAGTTTTATGACCTGACACATGAAAAGTATTTTTAACAATACAGTGCTGGTTAGTGACTGATTACATGTAATCTGGATTACATAATCAGATTCCAAAAATTAAGTACTTGTAATTAGAGTATATTACATTTTGAAATGCTCATAATCAGATTACGGTTACTTTTTTAGCGATTACCTGATTACATATTATTCACGCAATGGCAGTAAATTATTAATACTTTATTGATTCTCCCTAATTCTACTTTTTTCTCATTTAAATGTTCCTTTCTAAAAATCCTACTGCGTGTCATACCATTAAGCTTGAACTATATTCACAAATGTCATGTAAATAAATTTGCAAACCAATAATTGAACCAAATAATTATGCTTAAGTTACTAAACACTGGTGACGTAGCTATGAAACACAATGTCGTCTTCATATCCAGAGACCTTCAGTAACTCTTGATTCTGCAGGACTGAAATATTTCAGAGCTGGGAGACTTTGGGCTTATGTAATGTCACTGCTGTTTTCATGTTTATTAATGTTTGTTCATGTAATGCAGGGATTCCCAAAACACTTTGTCAGCCAAACCCCTTAAAATAAAATATTTATTTGAAATATCTCTGAGGAAGTTAATATTTCAATAATTTAACAATTCACATATTTACAGTTCTCTGATGTGGTTAACGATCATATTGACATGTAATGTAAATGACATTCAACATGTAATCTGTAACCGATAACAGACTACAATTTGTAAGTAATCTACCCAGCACTGCACGTGTGTATTTCAGAAAGTAAACTTGAGTTACTGACCTTCGTGCAGGAAGGTGAGGTCTTTCTTGACCACGGGAAACAGCGGGATGATGGGAGGCTGTACGCTCTGGCTGCTCAGGATGTTGCGGTATTTGGCCATGTTGCGTGACGGGTCAAAGATGTCCTGAAGGTCGCGGAACAGTTTCTCATACTTACTGGGTAGTTTCTCCCACGTGCTTCTCAATCGAGCTACTGGAGCCAGATTTAGACCACTGATAAACACATAAAAACACAGCACATGAACATCACGTACGGTCCTGCTCTTGAGTTCACACACCCCTTACAGAATCTAACAGATGTTTAACCATTTGAAAAATAAGAGCGATCATAAAAGTTGCATTTTATGTTCTGATGAAGCTGCACAACTACCAAAAAAAACAAAAAAAAAACACTGAGGAACCAAGAGCATGTCAACTTTTGAACATGATAATTTTCTAAATCGTCAATTATGGATTATTTTGTCTTTTGGATAATTTAGAAATATCTGTTAGAGTGCTCTATAGTGTGTTATTTTGATGACTGAAAATGACCGCATGTGACTCTGGACAAAAAAACATTTGGGCACACAGAGGGTGCACACTCAGCTGAAACTAATAACAGCACTGGTCCAGTGTGTATTTGTGTTTGCGCTCTGGACAGCATCAAAGTTTTCTATTTACACCGCAATGTAGCCAATCACAGACATATCTGTTGATTTCTTGAACACAGTGGCAATCAGAGGTGTTTAATTTAGGCAGAATTTAGTTAATAGCTGAGTTCTGCACGCTTGTTAATCCTCTCATTGTAGCAAAAAGAGTGTAGGTACGATGTAAATACAAGATTAATCGTGCAGTGTAGCGCTTCACTGATAATTACAGAAGTTTGTGAGATTGCAAAGAACTGAGATGAGTGGAAGCACTTTGCACACTTTCTAGCTTAAATATAGTCCATTCAGAAATGTTTTGGGGTTTTTTTACATGCTGTTTTTCAGGACCAGCGGCCACATTCATGCTGCAAAGTTTAATAAATGTGGGAATCACTCTTGAAATTGCAATGATTGGCATAGTGATATTCAGGGATGCACATAAGTGGTGTACAGGGGCGCATGCGTGACCAAAATAAAAAATGTGCTGGGTAAGTAAGTTCAGACCACTCATTTGTGTACCAACATGATTGACAGCTGTTAATGCACAATCACTGTTTTAGATCGACTAATTGTAATATTGTATAAGATATTAATTCGAAATGAAAGCATAAATCTAGGCTACACGCTGTCAGTTTTAGAGCAAACGCAAAACTGTGACGCTTCATTCATTGATTCTCTTCACTCGGCAACACTAAAAACAGCAGTGCGTATTTTAAGTTTGAAAATTATGAAAATTCTTATAAAAAATAAAAAAGTAAAAAAAAGAAAGAAATAAAAGAAAATAAAAATTTTAAAAATAGCCTTACATTTTTGCATACTATAAAAATGCATCCTTGGTGATAACCATAGCAATGAACAGGACCTGAAAGCATAAATCTAGGCTACACGCTGTCAGTTTTAGAGCAAACGCAAAACTGTGACGCTTCATTCATTGATTCTCTTCACTCGGCAACACTAAAAACAGCAGTGCGTATTTTAAGTTTGAAAATGATGAAAATTCTTATAAAAAATAAAAAAGTAAAAAAAAGAAAGAAATAAAAGAAAATAAAAATTTTAAAAATAGCCTTACATTTTTGCATACTATAAAAATGCATCCTTGGTGATAACCATAGCAATGAACAGGACAAACAAATATTTAATATGAATATATACAATATGTAAATACAGATGTGCATTAAGCCCTGTTAAGACTAACAGATTAATAGAAAACTATTAACATTTTCATATCAACATGCTGTTGCAATTATTTGAAAATGCATTTACTTGTAAATCTTCTAATCACATAAAACTGATCAAATTAAAGGATTATCTGAAGCACAGTCGTAAATGAATCAGGCTTGGGGTAAAAATGAATAAAAGTGCTGAATGAGAGGCTCACGTACCTTTTACAGGCTACACACTCTGAGCGAGTGACAGGTCGAACTACTTGTCAGATGTATCTCGTATTGAAATAGTGGAATATTTTTCTTACAATCCCTGCTCTGTCAGCTCAACCGACTCACCTAATGATGGCAAACATGGAGTTGAAGTTCTTGCACTCGCGGCAATGCAGGGCGATCTTGATAAAGTGCTTGATGTTCTTCATGCGTTTGAGTGCGTTGGGCTCGCGCAGGATCTCAGTGGCCACCCAGAAGGTCTCCTGGTTGATGACCTCCTCGAACTGCTTCAGATGGCTGCTGCCGCCACCGCCGGGGTCCAGCTTAAACAGGTCGTCCACATACTGGGTGGACTCGATGTTACGGAACAAGCCGAAGTCTCTCATGGAGAGCTGCGCTGCCACCTCCACGGTACTGAGCTGCAGGAGACCGATCTGACTCTCCCTTAAGAGCTCCTGAGCGTCTTCATCAGAGCAAAGCGTCTCTGTCTCCATGTTGTTCTTCAGGTAGTACCTGAACAAACATAAAAACGCTGGGATTACTGTAAAGTCTTGTCACACAAGCGCATATCACGGTGTCCCTTTTGGATCCATCAACTCTTTAGGCAGTGGAATCAGACTCAGTCTAGTGTGATTTAGGCCTAAATGTAAGATTTATGGATTTGAATTGCATAAATATATTATTATATTTATATTATATTTTATATTTATTATATATATATTTCTGTATATTTCCTTCTTGCTGAAGGGCACATGTGAATATGACATTTATTGTAATGGGTTTATGTGAAGATTGATTTAAGCTCACTTAAATTAAAAGTTGTTACTTTTCTAAGTCTAATAAATGTTCAAATGAATAGCTCTCAATTATACTGTAATGCTGAATGGCTATAGTCAATGGTAAAATATTAGCAACAAAAAAAAAACTATTTCACAAAGAAATCAGTAGTAGTACTGGTGTCATAAAAAGATGCCACTGAACAAATATTAAAAATATACTGTCTTTATGTTGTTTCTACATTAATTTGGAGATGTGAAATTTTTGCAATATAAAAGTATATTTAAAAACGTTAATGTTAGGTGTGATTAATCGCTTATTATGTGTGATTAATTTTTTTAATCGATTGACAGCATTAATTTAAATCAACGTGATAATTGAGTCAGATCAGAAGTAGTCTGATTATATGATCTAAAATGTGTAATGTAATGGACATTGCGGGGCCTAAATCTCAGATGAAATGAAAGAAGAGGTCAATGGCTCAAAAATGTTTGGCGCAGATCTGTTCAAGCCGTGGGCTTCCACACTATTTAAAGATGAAGTCTTATCGGCTTGGAACACAATCCATCACACTGATGCATTTTCACATGCTTTTGGACAAACATTTCATGCCACAATCCCATAATCGCGTGCAAAACAGTGAGTTCAAAACATGTACGTCGGGTGTACTTACAGTAGAAACCAGCCACTTCGAGGAGCCAAGAAACACACAGAGAGTAAAGAAAGAGAAAACGAGATATGACACATGGCAGACACAGCACACATGATCCACCAGTGGACACATCACAACTAATCTAAACTAATACAAAGTCTCTCGTACCGAACATCACGCTGCATATTAAAGGGATAGTTCACCCAAAAATGAAAATGAGGTCATCATTTACTCACCCTGGTGTTGTTCTAATGTCATATGCCCTTCTGTCTTTTTCAGACCACAAAAAGAGATTTATTATATTTATTTATTTATTTCAGTCATTTAGCAGATGCTTTTATCCAAAGCGACTAACAAATGAGGAGCGTAACTCTGAAGTAATGAATTTAGCTAAAGGGGTGCAGAGTCAGTGGTGGTTTTGTAGGCAAACATTAATGCCTTGAATTTAATGCGAGCAGCTACTGGTAGCCAGTGCAAATTGATGAACAGAGGTGTGACATGCGTTCTTTTCGGCTCATTAAAGATTAATCTTGCAGCGGCATTTTGGATTAATTGTAGAGGTTTGATAGAAGTGGCTGGAAGACCTGCCAAGAGAGCATTGCAATAGTCCAACCTGGACAGAACAAGAGCTTGAACAAGGAGTTGTGTTGCATGTTCTGAAAGAAAAGAATAAAAAAAATGCAACAACAAAAAAATGCACACACTCTTGTCTATATAATGGCAGTATACGGCAATCAGCTTCAAGCTTTTTAAAAAAAGATGCAAAAGTATCACAGAATGGTCCCATTTGGCACTTTATTTTTCACAATTTGTGTGTTTTACCTTGGTGAGTCGGAGTGAACTGCGGCGCTAATAGAGTCTAATGAACGCGCAGTCGTACACAGACACCAATGGCCAAGTCAGGATATTTGCTAAATAAAATGCAACAACAAAAAAATGCACACTCTTGTCTATATAATGGCAGTATACGGCAATCAGCTTCAAGCTTTTTAAAAAAAGATGCAAAAGTATCACAGAATGGTCCCATTTGGCACTTTATTTTTCACAATTTGTGTGTTTTACCTTGGTGAGTCAGAGTGAACTGCGGCGCTAATAGAGTCTAATGAACGCGCAGTCGTACACAGACACCAATGGCCAAGTCAGGATATTTGCTAAATAATATGTTACATTTCAGTTTGTTTTTCACCAACCCCTATCGTATACCCGCAGAACACTTGGAATATTCAGCACGTGTTGCATGAGACCATTCTTTGATACTTTTGCATCTTTTTTTAAAAGCCTGATGTTGATCGGCATATACTGCCATTATATAGACACGCGCGCGCAGGACAATTTGTAAAATATTTCCTTTTGTGGTACAAAAAAGAAAGAAAGGCATACGGCATTAGAACAACACAAGGGTGAGTAAATGATGACTTAATTTTCTTTTTTTGGGTGAACTATGCCTTTATCTTCAGTTGGTTTCCACATTCCTGTGCAGAGGATCTGAAACCGGCCGCAAGCTTTCATTTGACACAACCCAGAGCTGAAGTTACAGTAAGGGAACATTTACAGGAATCCTTCCAACATCCTCTTATATTCTAACTACGTATAACTCCATTTGAATGTAGACGGTTTTCAGAGCTTGTAATAAGGAGCATCGACATCAGGTTCACAAATCTACAGAAGAAACCCTCCACTGTGAAAGAAGCACACTTTGGCATAACAAACTAAAATGAGCACTCATTATGGAATTAATACTTTAGAAGAATATACTTCAATGCGAACTGAGTGTAATGATTTCATTCAACTAACTGCATTTTAAAGAGTACTGCATTTTAAAGAATGTAGTAAAGTACATCTTGGTAACACTTTAGTTTAGGGACCAATTCTCACTATTAACTAGTTGCTTATTAGCATGCATATTATTAACATATTGGATGTTTATTAGTACATATTAATCACATATTCTGCATGACCATATTCTACATCCCTAATCCGACCCAATAACTAACCTTAACAACTACCTTACTACCTATTAATAAGCAGCAAATTAGGAATTTATTGAGGGAAAAGTCGTAGTTAACGGTTTGTTAATAGCGAGTAATTTAATAATTCTATTGTCTTTGAAATATGGCTAGTGTTTATTTAGTGACTATGTTTCTTAAGTACACTTAAGAGGCCTTTTATTTTATTAACATTATATTTTCTGCAAGTACAGTTTTTTTAAAATATACTTTTAATACTTGAAGTACACTGCAAATGCCCATTCAATGCAATTAAACACATGAGCACATGACTTTCACTCATGATGTCTGCCTTCATTCTGCTGCCACCTTGTTTCATTTCACACTGTATTACACACGCAGTCTGTGAATTCTGAGCACATTTGTGACCCTGGAGCACAAAAGCAGTCTTAAGTCGCTGGGGTATATTTTTAGCAATAGCCAAAAAAACATTGTATGGGTCAAAATTATACATTTGTCTTTTATGCCAAAAATCATAAGGATATTAAGTAAAGATCGTGTTCCATGAAGATATTTTGTAAAATGTCCTACTGTAAATATATCAAAACTTAATTTTTGATCAGTAATATGCATTGCTAAGAACTTAATTTGCACAACTTTAAAGGCGATTTTCTCAATATTTTGATTTTTTTGCACCCAGATTCAGATTTTCCAAATATTGTCCTATCCTAACAAACCATACATCAATGGAAAGCCTATTTATTCAGCTTTCAGATAATGTATAAATCTCAATTTTAAAAAATTTACCCTTATGACTGGTTTTGTGGTCCAGGGTCACATATTGTGTTAAATCAAGCTTAGCTTAACTTCAGCACCTGCACTATATGATGACGCATGTATATGGTCATTGAATCAGCTGTGGGTGGCTGAACTCGTGCTCCGATGGTGTGAGGTCTTACCTGAAGGGTTGGTAAAGTCCAGAGCGCTGGTGGCGGGCTGCAGCAGGTCAGGGCTGCTGGATGACAGGCTGCCCGGGATGGGCATTATAGCCACGCTGTGCCGGCACTGCTTAGTGCCCACGATACTGTCGTCCTGAGACTGAGACATGCCACCGTCACTGCAGACACAGACAGAGAGGGATTTCATCCAGCACAGACACTAACACTGCATGTCAATGAACACACACATAGATTTTCACATTAGGGTTTCTGCAGGTTTTATGAAGGCAATTTCAAGACCTTTTTAAGACCAAGTAAAGAAAATGTAAGGAATAAATTAAATGGAACACAATACATCGATATAGTCTCGAAAAATGTCAGCGTCTTTTATTAGCAACACGTCAAAGCTTGCAAACACAACTTGCGACAACAGATCTCCATTACTTTTTAATTCCTTGTACTAAATAAATAGCCTAAATAAAATGTATGGCTTGAATAGCTCTGCTCCAAACCACTAGAATATGGAAAATAACTTTTACTGAAACTTCTGATCACACTGCAAAAAACCTGATGTTCTTCATCAGTATTTTTGTCTTGATTTCCAGCACAAATATATAAGCATTACTAAATTAAAATACATTTACTTGAGAAGCAAAATGACATAAGAAGTCTTGCTTCCTGTGAAACTGACCAAAATTAAATGAGTTGATGATTAAAACAAGAACAAATATCTGCCCAGCAAAATCAACTTAATTCAAAAGGAACATTTTTCTTACCCCACTGACAGATATTTGTTCTTGTTTTAAGCATAAACATTTAATTTTCTTAAATTTTTTAGAAAACAAGACTTCATACTGTCCTGTTCTTTATGTTGAAATGTAGTCTTAGTTTCCTTTGGTTCATGCTTCCTTCCTGTGTTTGGTTTCTGTCTCTCCTTGTCTTGTTAGTTCCTATGGTTACCCTGATTAGTCACACCTGTAACTAATCATCCCCATGTTCTCGGTGTGTTTCAGCCCTTGTGTTTCAGTCATGTTTTGTGAGTTCTTGTTTCGCTCGAGGATCTTGTATGTTCTTGTTTCTGTGTTCTTGGGGATTTTTTTGCCTGTTTTGTCAGTCCTGCACTATCTGTGTTTGTACCTGTTATTAAATGGGCATGCAAGTGTATTCTTCGAATCGTAACACATACGTTTAAATTGCATCTCAAGTAAATATGTCTCTATTTCAGAAATTTCAGATATTTGTATTGGAAAACAAGACAAAAATATTGAGGAAGATATGCATTTTTTAGCAGTGCATGCAACATTTAATTAATAAGCATCATTATGAGATAAATTGACATACTAAGTCAAAATTCTGAGCTAAAAAGTCACGAGATAAGATCTTAATTATGAGATCAAAAGTAAAAAATTATGAGAAAAGAACATTTTGACATTAAGTCATAATTATGAGAAAGTCAAGTCAAAATTGACATACTATACCTTAATTATGAGATAAAAGACCATTTTTGACATTTTAAGTCATAATTATGAGATAAAAAGTAATGAGATAATGAGATAAAGTCTGAAATATATTAAAAAGTCATGAGATAAGTCGAAATTATGATATTGTCATAATTCTGAGATAAAAAGACAAAATGACATAAGTCAGTTAAACTTTTCATGCCATATGGCTCTATATTAGACTAGCTGCAGCGTTAAATTTGTGTGAAAAGATTGTATTTGTGTTGTATGATGTATTGTGTTGTATTTGTGACTTTATGAATGTAAGACTTTTTTGCTCTGATTTAAGACCTTTTTAGGCCTTCATTTGTGGAAGGGTGAATTGAGACTTGATAAGACTTTTTTAAGACCTGCAGAAACCCTGCATATGGACATTTAGGCCGTTTTCACACTTAATTGACTGAATGGGATGAAGCCAGACCAAATGTGGATTGGCTAAAACAATAACTAGACAGCTATCCAGCAACTGATTAACATCATCCGGTAACCCTTTAGAGAAAGCATCACTGATGAATTAAGAGAGGAAATAGAGGTAGTTCTGATTTGCTGTTGACACACATTCATCTGCTGCAGATGTATTATAATGGATGCGAAGAATGCGAGCTGCTCGCCGACGAGCCGATGAGAAATGCTGCAAAGTCTAAACAAACTGAACTGGGATGCCAGAAGCTTCAGTGTGAAAGCGCTCTAAACAGACACGAACACAAACACAGAATGAACACACACAATCTATGAATGAGACACGAGACTGAGATGAGCAAACACAGCAGAAGAGGGGCGAGAACACTTGACATCTCAGACGAGAGGAAACAGCGCTGTCTCATGTGTAAACTCTGTGCCAATCAGATGCTGACCTTTACACAAACGGCCTAATTAACATGCTGCTGTCTTGCTCTCAGAGCAGACGTGACGATCTGCTCTGAGAGGACAACACTGCCTCTCCATCCATCACTCGACTCCATGACCTAATCATCAACACATCTGATACGGCAGGAAATATCAATACAAGTGCACAAAGAACACCCAAAACCGCTGTAGATACAAAGTGCATCACTTCAGATACACATGTATGCAAGCCCATTCCCACCACAAGAAAACAAAAATGCTTTAGTAAATCACAATCATGAGATAAATAGTCAGAATTATGAGATAAATGTTAAATTATGACACACTATCTCATAATTATAAGATATAAAGCATTATCATGAGAAATTGACATACTAAGTCAAAATTATGAGATAAAAAGTAAAAAGATAAGTCTAAATTGAAATACTATATCTTAATTATGAGATAAAAAGTAAAAAATTATGAGATACATTTTTTTTTTTCATTTTAAGTCAATTATGAGATAAGTCGTTATGACATACTATGTCATAATTATAAGATAAAAACATGAGATAAACTGACGTACTAAGTCAAAATTATGAGATAAAAAGTCAAAAGATAAGTCTAAATTGAAATACTATATCTTAATTATGAGATAAAAAGTAAAAAATTATGAGATACATTTTTTTTTTCATTTTAAGTCAATTATGAGATAAGTCGTTATGACATACTATGTCATAATTATAAGATAAAAACATGAGATAAACTGACGTACTAAGTCAAAATTATGAGATAAAAAGTCAAAAGATAAGTCTAAATTGAAATACTATATCTTAATTATGAGATAAAAAGTAAAAAATTATGAGATACATTTTTTTTTTTCATTTTAAGTCAATTATGAGATAAGTCGTTATGACATACTATGTCATAATTATAAGATAAAAACATGAGATAAACTGACGTACTAAGTCAAAATTATGAGATAAAAAGTCAAAAGATAAGTCTAAATTGAAATACTATATCTTAATTATGAGATAAAAAGTCAAAATTATGAGATAAAACAACATTTTTGTCATTTTAAGTCATAATTATGAGAAGTCAGGTTATGACATACTATGTCATAATTATAAAATAAAAAGCATAATTATGAGATAAATTGACATACTAAGTCAAAGTTATGAAAAAAAGTCAAAATTGACATACTATACCTTAATTATGAGATAAAAGACGATTTTTGACATTTTAAGTCATAATTATGAGATAAAAAGTCAAGTTGTTACACAAAGTCATAATTATGAGATAAAGTCTGAAATAAAAATAGATAAAAAAGTAATGAGATAAGTCAAAATTATGATATTGTCGTAATGAGATAAAGTAAAATTTCTGAGATAAAAAGAAACAATTTTGTCATTCTAAGTCATAATTATGAGACAAAAGTCATAATGATATGAGACAATTAAACTTTTCTTGTAAAATTCAGTCAAATTCAAGTTCTTCAAGCACTTTCAGCACCTTGTACAAACCCTGTTTCAATTTTGGGATTGAACATTTTTGGATTTTTTGTTCTTAAGTGGCAGAAATGGACTTCTTTACACATGCGTAGCACACCTACACACGGATGGAGATTTATCAGACTCTGAATGGGACCTACAGAAAGTGTGCGTGGAGCCACCCGACAAAACAGACATCACACGCTCACACTAACAACATATTGACGAAAGCTGTGATTGATGAAGAAGAAAGCGCTTGTATCATGTCCTGCCTGGTTAGGTGTTGTCTTTCATTGGTCAACATCTTTTCCTTATGTAAATAACAGTGCAGTGTCACAGTTCTTGTGTGGAAGTCATTCTTTTCACTTCCTGCTTCTGTGAAATCACAAGTGCTGTTTGTCACAGGACCTGGCAGTGCATACTGTGTAATACCGTAGTATTATTATGTGTGTAGTATGTAATCCCAACTGTATATTAAACGTCATGTTGTGATTGGCTGTTGGAAATGTTGTGCCTGGTTAGGATGTGACGCAACTCTTAGTGAACACACAGGAAAAGTGAAATGTGTTGTGAACATGCACAAGGATGCTAAGTCCACTGCAAACACAATAACACGCTTGATATGAGGATGAAACAACATGAAACACAATGTTCACGCAAACGATCTCTTCTGATTGAGGTTGTGCTGCACTACTCCCAACATTATGACTTTATGATTATTTCATAAGAGAGAGAGAGAGTGTTAAGCAGGTGTCTCTTACCCAAACAGTCCCCTGTGCAGTGAAGCAGCCATAAAAACAGAAAACACGTGATGTTAACCAGTACAAGCATCAAGCACCTAAATGAACCTCAAACACAAGCCTGTGAAGTGTTCAAACACACACTCACACTCTGTCACACACACCTAGCGGGCTCACCTTTACCCCAACATCCAAAAATAAAACATACACTGTGCATAAATGACATGAAGCATGTTTTAGGACATTTAGATTGTCTGCATTGTGATTCTGTACCATGTCCTAACTAGACACAACATGCGATAAAAGGTATTTTCGCAGGTTTTATAAAGGTACATTTAAGAAAACGCTTTTTAACACCAAGTAAAGAAAGTTTAAGGAATAAACGAAAGGGAACACAATACATTATTATGCTCTCCAAATGTATATGTCACACTTGTATTAGTAACACTTCAAAGTCTGATATACAACTTCCAACAGATCTCTGTTACTTTTTAATACATCTTAGTAAAATAAATATCTTAAGGCTTGAATAGCTCTGATCCCATCCACCAGAATACAGAAATAACTTTTACTCTACCTTCTGATCACACTGCAAAACAAGTGATGCTATTCATCAGTATTTTGTCTTGTTTTCAGTGCAAATATCTAAAGATTTTGAGAAGCAAAATGACATGAAGGGAAATAAAATCTTGTTTCCTGAGAAATTGATCAAAATGAAGTGAATTTATGATTAAAAAAAGAACAAATCTCTGCCAATAACCAATTAATTGAAAGGGAAAACAAGCGTTCATACTCCATTGACAGACATTCAGTTTCAGACCTCATATCTTCATTTTTCAGTAAAAGTATCTTGATTTAAGGATGTTTAGATATTTGAATGGGAAAACAAGACAAAAATACATGATATTCATTTTTAATATTTTAAAGGGCCTTTTTTCAGACCATGTTTTTACATGTTAATCAGAGTTTTTGTCCTAACCAGCCTTGATGGTGATACACAAACAACATGGGAATCTACTTGGGAACAGTTTCTATTTCTAAGATATTGCGGCTGGAACGAGAACATACAAACATACATGTGATGATCTCAGCCACTGATTATGTGCTTTGCGTAATTCTATTCTATTTTTATTCTATCTACTTGCTTTCTTTTTATTTATTACAAAACTTGACCCTCTAACACTTGCACCCTCTATTCTATTTCTATTCTCTGTACTTTTCTTTAAAAAGAAAATAAACCTTCACCCTCTAACATTAGTGTTCTCTTTTCTTTGTCTATTCTATCTACTTGCTTTTTTTTATTGAGAATGTCATGCAGTGAAACGCCTCTAGAGACACTAAGAGCAGTAGCTCATGTTCTCTGTGTGGCGGCCGACAGACGCCAGTCGTGATGCTGATGGAGGAACATGTAGATAAGCAGTGAAAGGAGACTCGTAAACTCAACTAGACTCTCAACCATCACCCACACAAGAACATGTCTTTACCTGAAGGGTTTTGGGGGCAGGATGCTGAATCTGGTCTTCTCCAACATCTTACGGATCTTGTTGCGTCCTCCAGACACCGTGTTGGCCTTCATCTTCTTGCGGCTCTTGCTGTCCGAGGGAAACTCCAAGTCACCTGGGAGATCCGGGATGGAGAAGCGGTTGCTCTTTCTCTCCTGAATCTTAGGGATGTGAGGACCGCCGTTCTTCTTCTCATTCCTCACGCGGCTCTGAAGCTCTTTGAAAACTGCGACAAAGTCAAAATCAAGTCAAATGGATCTGCTGTTCACAATACACATGGTTTCATAGCAGCTTTACAAAAAGTTGCACTGTTATGTCTATGATGGCTTAGTGCTTTAACAGAGTGAGTTTTAGTGGTGATATGACGATATGATACGAGTGATCTGACAGGTTTATCTAGCTGTATTGTATTTATAATGTTGTCTAGTGCTGCAGTGATTCGAACACATGTTTGAATGTTCAAAGACAATCACGAGATTTAAATATCGGTTGGTTTTGTTCTATTAAAGCACCCCTATTATACTTTTTCGGATATTTACCTTTCTGTCTGTGAATGTAAAAGTTCTGCATAGTTTCAAAGATCAAAGTGCACAACAAATGGAGTTATTGTCTCTCAAAATAAAGAAATTCTGAATTCAGAACTGCCTGAATGTCTAGAAGACGCTGTTTTCTGTGCTGCAAAAGCAAAAACACTTTACAGGATGAAGGATGAGGATGTGAAGAGTCATTTTTACAGAAAGTGTGAGAACAGAAGTGATGCGGCAATGTATATTATGAGAAAATATTAAAAAGTTAAATGTTTTTTTGACCTTGGATGCATGTAAACCTATTGTAGGAGACCTCGAAAACAAAATTTGGAATCATTAAAATAGCATAATGGGGTACTTTAATTGATTTAAATGTCGGTTTTCTGTAAGCTAGAGTAAGTGATTAATAATAGGAATTGATGAAAATATGATTTAAAAAAAGCAGATGTTACAGTCAGGGCTGTCTCCATGCATATGCATGCTAACAGCTGCTGTTTCCATCTACAGATTTTATTAGAATTTTGAAATAACACATAAAATGCTGAATGGAGATACATTTTCTAAAATGTGCATGGGCATGTGTGTGCTCGCTAGAGGCTGATAAATGATTTATTTGCTAAGAAAACATACTCTTAAACTACAATGGAATCACATTTACTGAATAAATCACAAGATGTACAACAACAAAATTCATGTGACTGAATACCCGGCTGAGAGGGTGCATCAAACGATGCTGTAGAGAAAAGTCAGAGCCAAAGCCTGTCATTAAAACGCTCATTTATTACATTTTATACAACAGCATTTCCAACTTTCATTGTCATATGTGACGAGTTAGATCTTTTGGACACATGTGGTGGAAATGCTGCTTTATTTGCTAAATGTTTTTTTGAACTTTTGTGGTGCTCCAGTTTTTTTGTTTTTTTTTTGCATTAAATTAAATTAGCAGATCGGATGGAAACTCAAATCTGAGTCATTTTCTCAAATTCAAGAAGCTACGCGTCATACCTGAGGAAACTACTTGAACACCCGTTAGCCAATCAGAATGAAGCATTCCACAGTACTGTGCTATAAGAACGATCTGTATGTTCTGTGACATACCGAAGATGTTGGTCTTCACAGTAAGAGAGAGGTGCGTGTTGTTCTTCAGGATATCCATGGCTTTGGAGTACGAGATGTTCTCAAAGTTCTGCCCATTGATCTCCATGATCTGAGGACAGACGAGGCGCTATGTGTTCATGCTGAAATACTTATTTGGTAAGTGTTACTCGGTGCAGAGCACGTTCCTGTAATCTGTACCTGATCGCCACGCTTGAGCCCTGCTTCTGCCGCTTTACTGGCCTCCTCCACAGTCTCCACGAAGATGCCGAAGCCCCGCTCACTGCCGCCCTGAACCGTGAAGAACAGCGGAGACTCTCTGGACGGCTTCTGCAGGGTGATCTGACGACACTTGGCTTTAGCAGCACACGCGATGTTCAGCAGACGCAGATGACCCTTCATTTTCTGAGACACAATTCAATGAAACACATATTTAAGAAAAATATTCCCTTGTATTTATTCATATAATTCATGATACTGTAAATATGTTCATAATTTGTAAATATTCTGATACTTGTCCATATTTTTATTCTTTAATTTTATTATTATGTGTCTTGTTGTTCATTTCCAAGAAAAATTCCTTGGCAATAAAGCTCTTTCAGACGAACTGGGGTCAGTACAATGTGTTTGATTCTGTGAATGAATATAACTATAACTGCTCTGTCAGTGCTGCTGCTTTAGCTGTTCTGCTCTGCCGTTACATACGCACACTAATTTTTATTGTTTTACATTTAATTTCCATGACGTTTCAAGATTTTATTCATTCCCAGTAGGGATGCACAATATTGAAATTTTGCCGATATCCAATATTTTTCAACTCATTTTGGCCGATAACCGATGCCGATACCGATATATTTCCATTCGTTTGGAAACAACACCAATTTATTTTTCATTTTGGTTAGTTTTGAGCAAAAACTTACTTGTTAGAGCTAAATAAACAATAATAAAGTTATTTTTATAATGAGAGTACATTGAACATTGGCTTTGAAAATTAAAATCAATCACTTCTTTTTATTTATTTATATTTATTTTCAGACAGATGCAGTGGTTATTATATTATATTACATTAACATATATTATATTATTATATATGTTATTTCAATCAGTCATATCATTTGCATAGGAACCCTGTTTTATTGAATCAGTCTGGTTTTGTCTGATATCGACACTCACCGAAGAGTCCAGTAACTTCTCGAAGTCCTCCAGGAACAGAGTCATTACCGGATCGCCTTCAAAGTCGTTAAAATGATTGTTTACCCACAACAACACGATTCTCGTCACCTGCGAGATCCCAAAATATGTCAACACGTGCAATCCATTATTTACCACAAAAACAACACTGTGAGAAACAGAAAGAGTGATGCACACACACACATACTGACCGTGTCTCTGAGACTGTCCACTTTGAACCATTCCAGAAGTTTCTTACCCACTTGCATGGGGTTGGACAGGAAGGTGCGGTACGTCAGGAGGAAGTCCTCAATGTATGTGGGGTCCACCACTGACGGCTCCTCCACCAGGTGCATGATCAGACGCTCAGGAGTGCCCTGATGCAAACAACACAAGAGCACCTGATACAGAGCATGCATGCAGATAGGAAACTGCAGACAGGGTGGTTTCTATGTGGTTGCTAGGGTCTGTTGATGGCGTGAGTGAAAAGATACTCTAATTACAAGTACTTAATTTTTGGAATCTGATTACGTAATCCAGATTACATGTTATCGGTCACTACCCAGCACTGATCGTGACTGATGCAGACATCACGAAGAGCAGCCGTTCCCCAGAGGATCAGAAACTGACAGCAGCCGACCTGAAACTGAACCTGACCCTGAACGCCTCTGCTCTGAGAGCTCTGCCACCACAGATCCGACAGATGACGGGAAGCACTGCTTCAACACTCGTGGTAGGAGACAAACCGGAAATGCTCAGGCTGCCAAGTCCAGTCTAGTTAAACTCGCACAGAAACCCAAGCCACCACAGGTCAAGAGGGTAACATTTAAAAATGAACAGCTTTCACCATACTTCCCCAGCTAATTAATCACAGCAGTTTAAGGCATTACAAGTTTTCCGAAATGTCATGTTTAAACATGTAAATGAGACTTTATCTAATTAAATATGCACTCATTTGCATACATTTCCAGAACAGAAATCTGAACATCGGATAAAAAAGCCAGGTTCAAAGTTCTTGTTTGATTTTGTTGTCATATTAAAGGTTTTTACAGAGGGGATTTTGGATTTATCTATTTATCACTGCATAAATCAGAAAATACTGTCAACAGACATAAAAAAAAAGCCGCTGGGGTATATTTGTAGCAATAGCCAAAAATACATTATATGGGTCAAAAATTATTGATTTTTCTTTTATGCCAAAAATCATTAAGCAAAGATCATGTTCCATGAAGATATTTTGTAAATATTCTACCATAAATATATTAAAACATAATTTTTTATTAGTAGTATGCATTGCTATGAACTTCATTTGCACAACTTTAAAGATGATTTTCTCAATATTTGGATTTTTTTGCACCCTCAGATTCCAGATTTTCAAATAGTTGTATCTCTGCCAAATATTGTCCGATCCTAACAAACCATACATCAATGAAAGGTTTATTTATTCAGCTTTCAGATGATGTATACATCTCAATTTTGAAAAATTGACCATTATGACTGGTTTTGTGGTCCAGGGTCACATATGAACAAACCCCTCTATATAAACCTTCATAATAGAGATAGGAATATAACTGAAGTTTGGTGTATGTAATTGCTGCTGAAGTAGAAAAAAAGCACATGGCCTTTAAAGATACATATTGAAAGTGAAATCTACAAATGCAAATAGATAAAGCATAAAATGTGTATTTTGGATGTTTTCTTTGCACTAGTCTGAAAGAAAATCTCTAAATTGACCAGCGCATGAAAAAAAACAATGGTTTTGCCCTGTAGCGTCTTGCCTTAAGTCAGGTTTTAAACCTTGGTCTGAAGTGATCTTTACCAAAGCTTTACTTTGGGATAGTGTCTCAATGAGATGCTTCTTTTTAAAATCAATCGTCATTTGTTACTTTTGCCACTTCCTTTTGACCAGCATTAAACTGACCGTTGACTAATCGTACAACAGCAGCCCAAAGCAATGATCGATTCTAGAAACTACAGTGACTCTTCCTCACCTTAATGACAATGTGGCCCTTCCTGGTGCCACTGCGGTCCAGCTCTCGGTGCTCCTTCACCATGACAATCTCGCCCTCCTCCTCCACCTTGTGTGTGTTCTTCTCCACATGGTTGAGGATGCGGCAGTAGTCCTCTTGTGCGATGCACACAAACTGGTCCACAACAACATGAGGAAGAGCAATGAACTGATAGTAGAGCAGGAGGTTAGTCTGCACCACACACGGATACTCATAGCACCAACTCATGAGTGGAGCGCGCTCTGTGCATCATGTCTAAGAGGATGTGCGTGAGTGACCGGACTCACAGCTTAAGAGGAAGTTGAGGTGGAGTCTTTATTTTAGGGAATCAGCAATGCTGCTATATCAGGAGGTATTTGCATTTGGACCCTGACCATAGCACTGTGTGACATGTCAGTGATAACACTGCTCACTCATAACTCTGACTGAACTGAATGAAGTGTGAGTATGTAGACATTTAACAGAACATGAACCCCCCAATAATCAGATATGGTTACACTGTCCTGCAACATTTGATATTCCTTATATCAATTTATCAATATTCTTGGACTTCATTATGCACTGATCTGCTCGTTGTTAAGTTGAAAACCAGCACTAATCAATGTCAAAATGACTGAGACGGTCAATCATATCAAAGAAGGTGGGCTTTTCTGTTCACAGAAGTCGAGCATGTTTTCTAGTGTGATGTCGAAGTGTACGAGATGAGATGTATGTTTCAATATTTAACACCCGTCAGTTATATACAGTGATGCAAACTACTCGACTTTGTCAAATTTGGCTGTTTGGAATTGAAAATATGTTGCTTACTACATCATGTAAAATAAACTTTCATGTTTTGTAATGTGCAACTGAATGCGTGATTAGAAAAAAAAACATTACATTTATGCATTTAGCAGATGCTTTTATCCAAAGCGACTTGCATTGCATTCAACGTAAACATTTTTTATTGGTTCATGCATTATTCCCTGGGAATTGAACCCATGACCTCGTTAATTATTTAACTTTCAGTCAGTTCCTTATACAATGCTATTAAATGTTTTCAGAAGATTTTTGTGATAAAGCATGCAGCTTCTTCAAAATGTTTCCAAAAAAATAATCATTCAGGTTTGGATCAACGTGAGGGTTAGTACTTCCACACACCATTGATTTCAACAAGAAAGATGTGTCACGAGGACGTAGAAGGAATTAGAGTTTTAACTTGTGCGTTGTGATGCAGACATCTGTTGACCAATGAGAAGTTCACACAGGTGGTTTGTGCTGCACATTAAAGGGATAGTTCACCCAAAAATGAACATTCGGTCATCATTTACTCACCTTCATGCTGTTCCAAATGTCAAATTCTTTTGTATTTTTATGTCATAATTGACTTATATCGTAATTTTGACTTTTTATTACATAATTTCAACTTTTTATTTCATAATTATAGCTATATGTGACCCTGAAGCACAAAAGCAGTGTTAAGTCGCTGGGGGATAAGAATTTTATAATTTTGACTTTATCATAATTATAACATAGTACGACAATTTCGAATGTATCTAATAATTATGAGATAATTCTATTTCATAATACATTCATATAATTTATCATAATTTATATGTCTGTGTAATTATGACTTCAAACGTCAAATGCCAAAATTTTGTCTTTTAATCTCATAATTTCTCATTTTTATTTTATAATTACGACACAGTATGTCATAATCTCAAATTGATCTCATAATTATGACTTTGTATCTCATAATTCTGATTTCCCAAAGCAAGATAATTTTCTTACGTGGCAGAAATGGGCTTGCATACACGCTCTCACCTGGCAGTCATCTCCTTTAGTGCACACAACCCCGTTCATGAACTGTCTGTCTAGAGACGGCGAGATACCGAAGCTGTTGCCCATGCACAGGATCTCTGTTCGGCCGTCTCCATAGCTGATCTCTACAGCACCATTCAGGATCACATACCACAGGTCCAGCTGCAAACACAACAGTGCACTATGATCACAATCATTATCAAATGAGCTTTATGCACGTCAGATCGGTTATTACAGATGCTGGTACTATGGTGAAGAACAACTGAGATGGCATTCCAGGGATCAAATTTATGTCAATAAAGGACATGGATTAATCTAACAGCAGAAATAAATGCTACAACAGCCAGTCAGTGCATGCATCTAATAACTCTGCATGTTCTGCGTGAATGAATGGGGAGGTTCCGTTTGATACACAAACTCAGTGTTTCAGCATCTGTGTCTCAATATATGAGGACATAAACACATTGGGCCTCATTTATCAATCTAACGTAGAAACGAGCGCAGATCTGTGCGCACAAATCAACTTACGACAGAGTTCACGTGTGATTTAACTTTATCTCCAGAGCTGCTCTGAGAGCCACTTCACCAGCTTTACTCGGCTTCATCTGAGAAAAACTACCGTCAAATACACACTGAAACTGAAAGTAAAACTGAAAAACCTTTACGACAACCTGTCAAAATAAAAGCCTGGTTTAACTTGAGGAAATTATGACAGAAATATATTACTATTGTATACTAAAATGTAATTCTCAAGTAATAATGACGATAATAATAATAAGGTATTTTTCATTAATTTACACAGTTATACAGTGCTATTGTGCAGCATCTTATGAGACAAAAAAATTAAAATGCAATTAATTATGTATTAATTTCATTACATTTTAAAAGATTGCTTAAATTGTTAAAGTTTTATTAATTCATTTAATTAGACCCCATTTTATGATAAATGTGTATTAAATCATAAAACACAGAATCCAGAAGAAAAAAAAAGGAAAACAGAATTTAGTGGAAAATAAAACAGATTTCATGGCAGCCCTAAATTAAAATTTAGCTCTGTGGAGTTTAATTGTGAACAAACAAATGATCTTTACATTCATTCGCAAGGTTTAGCAGACATGTGGAAAACATTTCCTTCCCCATTAATGCTAAATTAATATTGTGATAATTATCAATATTGTATGATATGGAAATAAATATTGTGATAATATTTTTGGCCATATCACCTAGCCTGAAAAAGATGAAGTGGCTCTGTTAATGTGAAAATGTGTGTGTGTGAATCTGCTGCAATATCTTGACCTTTGCTCCCACTCTTTGTGTGTTTCTGTCTCCTTCTCATCCACACAGAACGTGTTTGTCTTGTTGACCTTCACTGTAGCCCACACACAAATAACACGGCTAAATGTGTTTCCCCTCTCAGCTCCTTTAAACTCATTTATAACGTGCTTCAAAGTGTCTTCCTGTGGTCTGACATCTAACATAATTACTCGGTTTCATGACAGACTGCTCAACCTCTAAAAACACCACACACAATGCTCGGTTACGCTTTATTTCGATAGTCCACTTTAGACATTCTACTAACTATAAGTAACTTTGTAACTACATGTCAACTACATGTCAACTAATTCTAATTAATTTGCAACTACATGTCTACTAACTCTCAGAGTAGACTGTTAGGGTCAAAATCATAGCCCAGGTTAAAATAGGACGTGACTTCAGATGCCCGGTGG